CTAGCCTCCCAAACAATCAATACCTTCTTAATGTGCTGAATCTTTTGAAATTTTTGATAAATTTATAATCGATAATAAAGAAATAGGGTTAGTATTAATTTCCAAATATAAAATGATAAGAGAATAACCTAAATAAACATGTTAGTATGCTACCTTTGTCAAATTTATGCACATCACGAATATTCTCTTCAACATTGATTAGCTCACTGGTCCATTTTGCTCTTAGCCAATCTTGAGTGCAAACAAGAGCTTGCACAACTTGGATATAATAAACTCCTAAAAGCATCAAGAACACGACCACTTGTGCTAAATGTAGATTCATATCTACTATAGATATTGGAACTGCTAGGACATTTCTATCCATTTAAGAGAGGATTGGAAATCACGGTGCATTAGACTTTAACCATGCAAAAATATCAAATCCCTCTTGCATAGTTTCTGAATCTTCAACTAAATATTTTTCTAAATCTGTTTTGCTATCAAGGTCTTCTTTCCCATAATTATGTCGTCTAAACTTTTCGATTATCATATATTTTCTCCATCTGTTAAATCAATAGGTTTAACTGCTAGACTTTGTTTTATCTCACTGTTGTTCTCATCTCTATTTTAACATCTGCCTTCATTTTATAGTCATAAAACATATCATAACAAGATGGCCTTATTGATCGTGCTAATGCAATTCCCTCAAGGCCTTCATACATTTCCATGATTACAAACTCAATGTATCTTAACCTAAACCGAGGATCAAGAATAAATGCAATATATATAATTAAATTCATCTTGTCAATAGTCCCCCCAATAGTTATTAATTTTTTCTTTCATTTTCTTAGCCATGTTTCGAATTTCAAGGTCTCTATCAATTTTAAATTTCTAAAGCATGCATAAAACTTCAGCAATTTCATGAAAAAATGTTTTGATGTGGCATACAATGAGCCTGATCTATGTAAAATAAGCTCATAAAACTTCTCTAAGAAACATACTAGTCTTCTTGTGTTCTCCCAATCAATATCACGTGGAATCTCATTTAGTCCATGACTCATTTCCTGATCCCTTTCAAGTTCTGTTTTAATTGAGAGTCAATCACCTCATAGCACTAGACGGCTCTCTCAAATTTAAGTGTTGAATTCAACATCAAATATGTTGAATTCCATCTTGTAGGAACATCTAAGCATAATAAACTCTTTCAAGCTTTTCTACTTCACTGCACTCTTTAAACTTTTGAATACGAGCATGAGATTGTCTTATAAACCTAACAACAACTCTTATATGAAGTACAAGATAACCAACCTCTTTGATCCCATCCTGAACAATTAAATTTATGATATGAGCAACGCATCTCATGTGTAAGAACTTACAATCAATGATACACCCACCTCTTTTACCCTTTTTTTTGGCAAATGAGTGATAATGACATTGTTGGAGCTTGCGTTATCAACTGTAACTGTAAGAAGTGCATCAATCCCTCAATCAACTAAGCATTTTTCAACTTCTTGTCCAAGTTCTCCTCTAAATTGGGCAAAAGTTCATTAATCTTTTGCTCAATTTCCGATCTTCGTCATTGTAATGCACAGTAAGACACATATAGTTGGTTCTTTGAATGGAAGCCTAGATGTCAGTTTTTAAACAAAGTCTTTTACACGATTTCTTAAAAACTTGTTATAAAGTTCCCTCTCATTAAGTAGAATTGAAAACAGTCATGAGTAAGTGTCCATCGAGAAGGACTATGAAATATCAGACAACATTTTGACATTAAGTTTTTGAACCCATATTCTTCAACATTTTTCAAGTGTAATTCATCAATTACCATAACTGCTAGAACTTTTCTAATATTATCTTGATCAAATCTCCATGCCTTAAGACCTTCACTGGTCTCATCTTGTTTAACATTTGATTGTAATACTAATTGAGCCTGAGTTGATTGAAGATTATGTAGATTTCTTTGATAAATAGAAAGATGAGTTCATAAATTTGTTGTAACATTAATTTTTGGATCACTATGATATGTTTTTCCACAATAATTACACTTGTTCATCTACCCTCTTTTCTTAGCTATGAACTTAGTGAAATAATCCCAAACATCGGATCTTGGCCTTATCGACTTTCTTTTCTTCCTCTCATCAATTAATTTGTTATTAGATGTATTCACATCTCCAACATAATTAACTTGTTGGGTAGAGTCAATAGCCACTGGTTGTTGAGAAGAATCTAAATCATTTGAACTCTCTCCATAATGTTAAATCTAACTGAATTATAATGAAGAGAGTAATTAACATAAGAACCGTTCTATTATGCCCATTACATAGAAAAAGAAAAGAGAAATCCATGTCAAAGAAAAAGAAACTATAAATTGCTAGAGAAACTTCTCACATTTTCCACACAAATTCACATGAAATTCATGCATATTAATTATTTCCCATCCAACTATCTCTTAAAAATCACATGAAATTCATTAGAAAGAACGATTACGTATATAAATCGAAATTTTATGCTTCATGGTCTAATACCTTTTATATAAATCCAAACTTTATGCCTCATTAGAAAGAATGACCAAAATAAACCGCTCAAAATAGATACACATCTCAACACTTTGCTTGAAAAAAGGGGCACATAATGATTGCTTAATTTAATGATTACATAATTCAATCATTCATCATAAAAAAATTATACAGTCCACTAATGGATTAACGACCTGTAAATTGCTTAATTCTTTCCTTCTCTCCACCGTAGGAGGGAATGAATCAGCAAAACAAGTCAACAATAAAAATTAGAGTCCATAAAGTATCAATAATCTACCACTTCAAAATTTCGGATCTACCTTTACGTAATTATGTCAAAAAGATTAAATTTGGTTGCACACAACCTTAACTTCTATGTAAACAATTACTTGGTCTTTAAGTAAATTTCGTTGCACACAACCTTAACTTCTAAACGCTCTAGACTATTAAGATTCTCCAAAGTTTTCCATCTTATAGAAATCCATGAATAGAACAATAGCTACACAGAATATACTTTGTCCATACATAAAAATAAGATTCTTAGCAACAAAAAATCATGGTTGAACTATCATAGATAAATCGCAATTTGACTGTCCCCATGCTATTCTACTTCCCAATTCCTCTTAGAAATCCTCCATTTAAATTTTAAAATTTATAAGAAACTAAATCAAATTAATGAGAATATTCATGAGAAACCAAAACAAAGTATACAAATGCAAATTTTAAAATTTAAGAGAATATTCATGGGAAATCAAAATTTGCAATAACTACATACCAAAGAAAAGAAAGATGAGAAACCAAATCAAAGTATATACCAAATCAAAATTTGCTTTCCACCATATAAAAACAGGATAGATCCGTTATCAAAATGCTTTGATGTGCTTTCCTTATACCTATTTTTATCTTCAATTATATCGTTCAATTTGATCCCTTAAAATGAAACAATAAAACTAAATAGTGTATGTAAATCCACCATCTAACCTTTGAGCATATCAAAATGAATTCGCAAATTTATCCAACAGTTCACTATAGTGACCCTACTGCTCAGTTAGGATCAAGAAGTGCATACCTTCGTTGTAGAAGATGGAGTTGTAGAAGAAGATAGAGTAAAGGAAATTAGGGCAACAACTAGAACGGGAAACACATGTTTGAAAACACTAGGGTGTGCATTCGTGGGAACCGAGATATCCAAGACCAAGTGGACCAAGGCTCTTCAGGCCTCCCCCACTTTTCCATTTCCACCATTAAGTTATGACACCTCTGCACGGTCCTTACGACCCTTATCTTCACCCTTACACCAAAGAGGAAACGAACCTCTTAATCGAGGCGAGCCAGGCAGCCAGCGGCAAATGTCACACAACATGAACCAATCAGTGTTAGAGGTGAGGTGAGCAGCGCAGGCTGCTCGACAGCTTGAAAGAATATAAATGGAGAGCGAACCCTAACTCTTCCTAAGTAAAAGATACATTTCGGTCTTCCGCTAAAGTACCCAACCCCAACAATAAGATTTCGGTTTTTTGCTAACTTCGCGGCTTCGCCCTTAATACTCAATTTTCGATTAAATCGGTTTTTTTTAATTTTAACCGAACAATAACCGATAAACCAAAGCATGTAGATATTAATTCCAAATATCAAACCGTCATTTAAAAAACCGAACCAAATAAATAAATAGGTTCAGTTCAGATCAATTTTTTGGATTTATCCAAACAATGCACATCCCTATCTACAACCAATTCTCGAAAATAGTCTTTTATGACTTGAAAAAAATTTGTGCCAAATCAAATTGATTGATTGATTCAAAATTATTTAGACATAAGTTTAAAGCGATAGATTTGATTTGAGTTGGAAATCGCAAATTTTGATTCTTGTTGATTGAAACTTCTCAACTTGGGAAAATGATCTCTAAGATTGATATAGGTGTTCTTCTGTAGAAAATTTCCTAGTTAGGAGAACGTAATGCATGGCAGACATACAACAATAGCGGTCAATCTTCTAAGAACTACAGGCCACCTTCACTGATGTAGTGCATAACTCTGTTTTCTGCTACTAATGCGAATCAATTTTGTGTTCACTTTTAAGGCATCCAAAATATGGTAAGTTAATTTCGGATGAAATGAATTGGGGACTTTGTTTGAAATATCATGAAAGCAGATTGAAGAATCTATTAGATGCGGCATGTGCTGCATGGCGAGATTTGAATCCGTCATTCGATTGAATACTGTGTGATTTTAGTGGAGTTGGAATTGATTTCAATTTTTTTAACAAAAATTCCTTCAAGTGTAATTGTTTTTCAGTAAAGAAAGATAATTTAATGATACAAATATTGAACTTGTTTGAGGCTTATTATTATTTTTTTCCTCATTTCACATTCTAGTAGATTCTTTATTTTTTCAAATATTCAAATTCTTAAATTTTACATTTTAATTCTAAGAGGAAGTTGTTAGTCTAGATCATTATTTTCTCGGTCATTTGATCTAACTTTTGTTTTGTGGTTTACTTCTGCAGTTGGGTTAATTCCCCCTCTTGTGATAATTGTGGTCGTGCAACAAGCAATATTGGTATGGGTGCTCCACTTCCCTTTGAAACTAAATTTGAGGCTTCTCGTGTTGAACTTTACAGGTAGGCTTAAGCAGGGATGATATTTTATGTTTTTGTTCCTTTGATATTGAATATTCATTTAGCTGTACTTATATGAAGTGATATCGATTAAAGCAACATAAATTTTTGACAATCAAATTTGATTCATGGTTCAGAATGCATAATGAAGCTTAGGTTCCATTCAATCTTGTTGAATAAAACATTAGGTGCCAAGTCTTTTTCATGTTGGTCTTTTTGCACCGATTCTAAATTTTTTTTCCTAATTTTTTCATTCCCAGTCCTTCCACATAACTCTCTTTACTTGTCTTGTATGGTGCATCTCTTACTCTTTTTTGTTATATATCAAACCACTTAAGTGTGTTTCATCTCGTATCTTAAGTAGTGCTGCTCAACCAACCCCATAAACTCTCGTGCTCTCTTTCTTCCTAATATTGTACACCATCTCTATACTCTCATTCTGCTGCACTAGAGAGTTGTTATTAGCATCTCCTTTTGTAACCGAGAACTTAAGAAGTTATGGCCCAAAGATAGGGAAATAATATAAACTAATAAGATTATAAGTTAGATGCAAGCTTGTATGCTTGAACTGACGCACTCAAGTCATATATACTTTTTTTTTGAAAGCCCAAAAAGGCTAATATATTAAATAGAAAGAAATATATAAATACAATGTGTGGGAGGGCCCAAGCATGACACCCTGCCTACACAAAAACCACAAATAGTTTCGAAACTAGAAAAAAAAACAGAAAAATGCATTAGAAAAAAACAGAAAAATGCATTAGAAACAGAAAAATGCATTAGATACTTAAATAAAAAGTCTAACAGTGCGTAAATACATAGTATCAGGTGGCTAGAGAGCGACCCAATTTGGTAGTTCTAGGGCCTCTAGTTCTAGGGTAGGAGCAAACTAATAAGCTGGTAAGATGATTGCCATTGTCAGTAGTAACCAATGTATCATCCAATATGTTCCCTACCTGGACTCGGCCTCCATTCTTTTTTTTCCTCTTGGAATAGACCTGTCATCTTGGAATAGACCAGACCTGTCATTTCTCTTCCGAAGAATCAGTCTGATGGGGTGGTAGAGCTGAAGCAGAAGGATTATCAACCGTAGTACCCACAATAGGTTCTTATATATGTGAAATATGAGTTGCCTCTACACCAGAGACTTCCTGAAGAAGTGAAGCTACGAGGCTCTCCTGATTATCAGTTTGAACACTAGCATTTGTAGGTAATAGTCCATCAGTATTGTTTTCTATGGGGTTTGAAGGTGTCGACATCACATCACTCGCAGTAACAGTAACAACAGTGTCATGGGGCGGTTCCTCAACGGCATCAGACACCTTCTATTTGGTAGTATCCTCCCCAAGTGAAACAAGAATGTCCAGAGCAGTGGGGTTAGACCCATTCTTATTCACTTGAACCTTAGATTTCAAATTTGGATGAAATTTGTGGCATTTATCAAGGACATAACCAAACATCTTACAGTGGGTACAATATGAGGGTCTGTGCTTCATGACGATTTGTTGTCAATAACCATTATGGGTTGTGCCCAACCAGACTTCAGTAACATCAGGTAAAATAATATTCCTTTCCACAAGTATTCTGGCCACCGAGGGTCTGGTTAGGTTAAAAGTAAGCAAATCTAGCTTCAAAAGATCCCCAAGGATGACTCCAATAGAGTATAGAATTTGATGGTGAAAAAAATGCAGCTTGAGACCAGGTAAACTAAACCATACCGGTACAGTAGGAGTTTCATTATTTGGGTCGAAATCTTGAGACCACTTGAGTAGCTTCATAGGTTTACCAGCAATGTTAAGATATTTTTTGGAGAAAATCCGAGTGCAGTCTTCAGACACAGTTAACTGAATCAAAACACGTCTTCCATCCACGAGCCCGACTCAAGTCATACATACATACATACATACATACATACATACATACATACATACATACATATATATATATATATATATATTATAATATATAAACTTAAAAAATGATTGCTTTTATATGCTAGGGATTTTTTCCTTAATCTATCATTGCTTCATTGGATTTTCTTAATTCTAGGGATAGAGTCTTAAAGAAACAAGTAGTAATAAAGTAATTTAAAAACGCATTGCCAGTGCTATGAGGATGCAATACTTACTGATCAATGATGTTTCTCAGCATTTCAACTAATAATTTATTTCAGGTGCAACTACTGTTCATGTATTACTCGTTTTCCACGATACAATGATCCACTAAAGGTGCAAACACATTTATTATATTTAGACTTTTAAGTCTTTGTTTTCTATGACTATCTTATCTTGTCCTTGATTCTTTTTGATCCAATATGTTGTTGAGCTAGCTTCTGGAAACAAGAAGGGGTCGCTGTGGAGAGTGGGCTAATTGCTTCACACTTTATTGTCGTGCTTTTGGGTATGAAGCTCGCCTGGTTAGTGAGTTAAAGTTGTTTAATGCTCTTTTAGTTACCCGCTAGTTTTGAGAAGCACCATGCAAATTTTTTGTGCTTACCAAAGTTTGAATGAAATTGGCTTCTTAAAAAGAATGATAATGCTAACATAGTCTGAATGAATTTAATGGACTGCACGCATCTTCTGAACATTAGAGGTTTTCAAAGCAATAAAATGACATTGCGCAATTTAATGGTTTTGTGTTTGCATTGATTCACAAATGTAGAAATATTTCTCGGATTCAAGATGTATGAATCTATATTTCCTTATCATTAAGTTTGCTGTCTTGTGGACTAGCGGGAATTAGTGGTTGACTATTTGAGGCATTGGTCCAACACATTGTGGGGTGTAGATGTTAGTGAGTTTTATGCTACAGCATATCTTAAGGCGCACAATATATTAGATTTTCTTGAATTTTTAATTTCATTACATTCACAGAGTTAAAAGTTTGTGGTATTGCGGGGGCTCATGTTCAACCGTTTGACTAGGTGTAGATGTTCATGAGTTATGCACTAAACTTGATCCTTATATTCCGAGGTGCACAACATATGAGAATGCTTGTATTTATGATATCTTTTGTGCCGTATAAAAGAGCACTGTTATTTGACAAGATTTGTATTTTGGACAGAGACTCCAAAGTTGACGGCTCATCTAGTCACTTGGGATGTTCTCGTAGTTCTTTTTCCCAAGATATGGACAAGAAAGATTAAAATGTTTTCTCTTTTCTTTGTTGGAAGATTCACTTTACTACTTTACACGTGGGGTTTTGTTCGCTCATCTCCTTGCGTTTCTTCCAAGAAGCAAGTACAAATGAGATCTTAAGGCTCATTTGATTGCTTTGTAATTTATAAGCAAACCTTAAAAAACATCATTTTACTTATTTTGTAGGTGCATGAGAGAGATTTTGAAGTTGTTTGTATTTTTTTGAAACTGTGAAAATTTTTCTTTGGATGGGGCAAAACCTCCTCCAACTCATCTTGTTGAATCCTCCTAGTTGTTCACTAGCACCTTCTGGGCACGCCTTTTCTAGTTCCTCCAATTTGGATAACTAATTTATAGCTATGCGCTTTGATTCGATGGCTTGTCATGAAATGACACTATTAAAGTATGGTTGCGATTATAGTTTGCAAAATTCTCAATTGCTGAAATCTTCTTAGCAGTAAACTATTGAGTGCACTTGTTAGGGAAGTAAGCCCTCTACTAGTTAAGGTTAATTTAAAATTGTTCCTTTTAAGAATGTATCTAATAAAATATAAATAGATTTTTTTCTTATGAGAAAAATAGATCGTAGAGAATGTAAAGATTTTTAGGTCATTCAAAGTGAAAATTTAAGTACTCGACATCAATTATTAGTTCTGTGAAAATTTAAGTACTCGTTAAGTACTCGACATCAATTATTAGTTCTGGATTTTAAGATGAAAAATTTTAAGATAAATAATACAGATAAACATAGTCATAGAATTAGATTGGAGCACCTAAAATAAACAAATAAAATTATTTTTATGACTAAACTTCAAAATTTTAAGATTTGGGATATTCAAGAATAAGCGAATTCTATGTGGGATAAAATATCAAGGATTATTAAATAAGTGAAAAAGATGTACTTCGAGAATAAAAAAGAAAAATTTTTTATAAATAGAAATAGTTGGCGGTGGAATAATAATTTGCAAGAAAAGATAAAATATAAGAAGTTGTGTTATAAAAATTGATTTAAATGTAAAAAGTTTAGAGAACTAGAAAAAAAATATATGGTCGCCTGTAGGGAGTCTCAGAAAACAATTTTTGACATTAAAAATTCTGCTTTTAGTGATCTTTATAACAGATTAAACACTAAAAAAAGGTAAAAAATATATATGTATAAACTAGCCAAATAAAGAGAAATAGAAGTAAAGTTAGGGGTTGCACCCCCTATCACCATCCTTAGAACGACTTCTCTTCGAGCTCGCACCCCCACTGCACTTCTTGGAGTGAGGGGCTGATTGTCGGCCACTTTCTCCCATAGCTTCTCTCTCAAAAACTACTCCAGTGAGAGAAAGGAAAATGGATGAAATGAGAGCTTCCCCTAAAGCTTTTGGGTTCCTTGAACTGGTTTTATTTTTCTTTATTAAAACTAAAATGTATACACAAATATGAGTGTACGAAAGTTTTTGCTAAATTCATTAAATCTATCTCGTCTACCGAAGTGGCTGAATTGAGCCCATCTATCGAAGTGACTGAATTGAGCCCACCTGCCGAAATGGCTGAATCGAGCTCATCTATTAAAGTGGCTGAATTGAGCCCACCTGTTGATCCAATCGTTCTCATCCTCCTCGAAAGGATAGCCTTGCCCACCCATGCAAGCGCAACTATCAGAATAAATCATCATGACTATAAAGAAGCTATCATGACTAACAAAAATGTTCAATTCCTTATTAAAGATACCACCGACATTTAGAACTTGTTCCTTTCACCTATGCATCAGAGATGACCAACATACCCGACATTAGCCGATAGTACATGTCATCCACATCAAGTCTTCCATCAAGACAATGGAGAAAGACGATGTATAGTACATGATGTACTACTTCAATTATTATATTGATTTTTTCCCTAGTGTATGAATGTGGAGCGAAAAAAAGAGTTAGAGATCTTCCCTTTCCCTTTTTCTCTATCGATGCTTCTATCGATGCTCTCTCTCTCTCTCTCTGGAGATCGCTTTCCATCTTCATTTCCCTCTTATCTTTCCTTAAAATCTTGTAAGCTAGGGAACCTCTTAAGAGTTGTCTCCATCCGACTTACCGAAAATCAGAATTCAATGCATTTCTTAAGGGCCCTTGAAAGACTTATCCATCTCTCTATCACTCTCTCTACAATACAAGGTCTTTTACCTGGTTATATGTACTCATAAGTGATACGATACCCTACGCTCAAAAGGATTCAACACAAAAGTTACAAAAAGTATACATGTATGCACCTATCATGTACAAAAAATGTGACATATCATCTATGAATATAGAAGAAAGAACACTTTGATCATCTAAATGCGATAAAACAAACGAGCTTTAAAGAGCTAGTTGGGCAAAAGCATGTGCCACCATGTTACATTCACGTGGTACGTGAAAAGGAGTACTTTCTTGAACTTAAAAAGGAAAGCTAGATCCGGTGCTTCTTTTGGTTGTATTTGCCAAACTTTTTTCCTCATCATAGCTCACAAAAAGTTAATAATGTTGGCGTTTTCCCCTTCAATCATAGTACCTTTGCTTTCATACTTCCATGATTCACAAATGCTTAGGAGGGAGTAGATAGCTTTGAGTTCCACTTGGACGCTATTCCAATGTTCGAAGTATCTCTCTGTGCAAACAAGCCCATTCCCAAGCTCATCAAGGACGATGGCGCTGGTGTCGGTAATGCCTGTTTCTGGAAGGGCCCCATCATTGGGGGGGGGAGGGACAAACTTGGTGGGTTGGCTAGCATCCCATTGCACCTATAATTGGTAGAATTGTGTATTTGTGAGTGCCTCAAGTGTGGTCGCATCAATGATAGCAGGCGTTTAATGAGTTCAGTTGTGAAGTTTAACATTATGAACTCTCCAATAGTGGTGTACAACATAGAAAAATCCACTGAGTATATGCTATGTTGCTTTTATGGATGGTACTAAGTATCCCGACAGCCTCCTTAAAGTTGTTGAAGTTACCCCAACTCTTCAAAGTAACTTCAACCCTGAGCAGACAGTTGGTATAATGTGGTTTCAGTCTTCAACTCCAAGGTAGCCCCAAGGGCAATCAGTGGATTTGGTAAGCCCCCTTTGAGCGATCCAACATCAGATGTGGATAGCATCGTGGACCATTGTCCACCAAAAGAACCTTTTATGCTGGTGGAGATGTAATTTTTTGAGTCAATCTTGATTGTTTGGGGGAGACACAAAGGTGGCTTAATAGGTGAGTGCAGTGATGGTCCTTCAAGTATGGCTACATTTGGGTTCGAGGCAATCCACGTCGTGTTCCTGGTGGATTCTGACTTGCAAAATTCTTTTCTCCATTTCAATCCCAAAAATCAGGTGGATGTCCTGGAGATTCCAGCAACCGTCTCTGATAAGGTTTGAGATCCGCAGCTCCTCAATTTTATTGTTGATCGGGCAAGGCCACTTAGAAATCGGACAGTCGTCTATCCGGGCGTGCTCAAGAGCATTAATGCTGTCTCCATTAGAAACCTTCCACATAGTGATAACAGGTAAGTACTTCCCAACATCATAGATAAATCTAGTGGTTGTAGTGCGTTTGTGCTCTTGCTTCCATAAATCCAATCTATATCGTGTAGCCAAACATTTGTGAAGCAAAGAGTTTTCATCCTGCAGGAATTTCCAGGCTATCCTTGCCCTTATTGGGCCTTTCCATTTTTTAGAAGTGTGAAAGCCTAAGCAACCAAGTTGAGAAGGTTGGCAAATTGTATCCCAGACAACATAGTGAAGGACAGGTTGATTCATGTTCTTTCTCCATAAAAGTTGTTTACATTTTTTCTCCAATTCATTCAGAATGCTAGCTGGTACTTCAGTGTGAGTAAGAAGATACACGAGCTTGGCAAGAAGAGAAGCATTTATTAAAGTGGCACGTGCTGCAAGTGATAAGAGTCTCGTCCTCCAAGCATTGAGTCTCGCCATTGGTTTAAGGATGATTGATGAGAAGCCAGCCTTGTTAAGTTTCTCAAAGCAAGCTTAGTTCCAAGATATTTCAGCTTTGTAACCTTATTGAACTGCGGAAATTTTGCTATTCTTCTTTTCTTCCAACCAAGAATGGCATTGCTAAAAAGCACAGTGGATTGGATATATTGATTTGCTGGCCCGTCCAACTACAATAATCCCGTAAAATATTCATAATTTGTTTAGCAACTGACATAGAAGCTTATGAAAAAAGAATAATATCAGCTGCGTGCAAAAGGTGAGAATTAGGAGATGATCCATTGGCAATACTGATGTTGATGTGTCTGGTCCGTTGCCATGTACAAC